TGCCCGAGGCTCAGGCAGGCCGCGGATGGCAGCTGCCATTACAAGGGCCAGCCCGAGGCTCAGGCAGCCACAGCGACCAGCAGTGGCAGCAGCAGAGGTATGATGGGGGCATCACCTTCCCCTGATCGGGTGGTTGCCTCCTGCAGAGGGAGGCCAGACTGCGGCTTAGGCCCGCTTCCCAGGGGGGAGTGAGCCTAAGCCATCAGTAGGACATCCCCTGAGGGCTCCCAGACTGTGAGAGGGGTCAGGCCAGGCTGAGGGACACCCCCCCCTTCAGTACACTAATTTTTGTGCACCGGGCCTCTAGTAATAATAATAAAAAATAAAGTGTCCGGCACAGTACCAAACACAGAATGACCTTCAATAAATGTGAACTCCCTGTTCATACAATAGTCCCTCCTTATCCACGGTTTCTCTTACTGCAATTTCAGGTACCCACAGTCAACTGCAGTCTGAAAATATGAAGTAGAAATTTTCAGAAACAAAATATTCATAAGTTTTAAATTTCACACCTTTCTGAGTAGCATGATGAGATCTCAAGCTGTCCATGAATCATCCCTTTGTCCAGTGTATCCCCACCCTTTAGTCACTTAGTAGTTGTCTTGATTATCATATTGGTTATCAGAGAGAGACCACATTCACATAACTTTAAGTATGCTGTTATAATTACTCTCTTTTATTGTTAGTTATTGTTGTTAATCTCTTCCTGTGCCTAATTTACAAGTTAAACTTTATCATAGGTATGTATAGGGAAAAACATAGCATATATGGGTTTCAGTATTATCTCTGGTTTCAGGCATCCACTGGGTGTATTTTTAGGCTATGCTGTGGTCCACCAATTCCCCCTTGGGGTTCTTTCCTTCCCTTGAAAAGGGGGGGGGGGCAGGCGCTACTACATAAATAATTGTCATTGTGCTCCTGGTGAAGTTCCTGGTGAAGGTTCAGGATCATGATCCCTGGGGCACATCAGGGACAAGGCCTGACAGAATGACATTAATGCTCTGATTGCAGCCAGAATTCACATGGGAAGCTAAAGATGAAGCCAGAAAAAAACGTCTAGATGCAGGATGGACCTGGACCTTTCCCATCACTTGCAAATGAGCAGCTACTGACACCACTGGACTCTCTCAGGCCAAATGCCCTGGGCTGCCTCTACAGAGAGACTGTCAAACTTGATCTGCAGAAAAGCTACCCAGTTGGGTTAAGGACAGAAAAATAAGTGACTTTGTCAGCAAGCAATGGTAGTAAGCCCAGACGGTGCCCCTAACCATACTAGGTGTTTGGTGGGTATGGTACAGGCTCATAGAGAAATATTTGCATAGTGCCTACCAAAAAAAAAAATAATCTATTAGAAGGAGTTTTAAGCAAATCCAGGAAGCCAAGGCAATTATAGACTAGTCCATACAATAATCATGAGGATTTCACCTCCTCAAATCCATACACAACTTGATTATACTTGAAAATATTTTTCTAGAAAATGGTATCTAATTGTTCTCATAGACTGTTGACCTCACATCTCCTCGTCCTTTCTCTTTCCAAGATATAGACCATGTTCAGAACAGCGCATTTTAGGTTGTTGCTACATAATGCTTACATTGTCAATATTGGCCAAATCAAGAGCAAAGAGTGGGAGTGTAGACTAGTTTTTTTAAAGTAAATTCCTGGGGATGTGTTAAGGAAGAGGCAACTAGTTGTATGGCCTACACATGAATGTGTCCATCCTTCCAAGAAGAACTATCTTTGGGATATGACACATTGGGAAAGCTTTCTTAAGAAATTTCTACTGGTTAAACTTTGATTCATTGTAAAATCACTCCCTTCTCTTTCATGGTGCTTCCTCCCCAGAATCAGATCCCATCCAGGTCTTAGTCTTTGCCTAAAGCCCAAAGTTAGAGGTATCCCTCAAAGAACGACATGTGCATTAAAAGGATCGTTAACATACCTAGGGAAAATATGTTTAAAGTATGAAAGTGGAAGCAGTATGATTTGCTTCACAAATTGTTATAAATGGTCTCTTCTGTTACGATTCTAATTGATTGCAATTAGCTTTTTAGGCTATGCTGTGGTCCACCAGCTCCCCCTTAGGGCTCTTTCCTTCCCAGAAACAACTCACACAGTCAGCAAGGGGCTGGGGCAGAAGTCGAGGGACTGAGCACAAACAGGCATGATCTTGGCAACACTCAGCTTCCCTGCACTTCGGCTTCCTCATCTGCAAAGTGAGCAGGTCTCTGAAATAGCTTCTCGCTCTAAAATTTTATCTAAAATGTAAAATCTTATACGTGGCTAAAATAAAAATCGAAAGCAATTCGTCCGTCTGAAATTCCCAGTGCTGATGATTTTGAAGGGCCAAATGGATATTTGTTGAACAAATGGATCTTCTCTTAATTCCCAGGAACAGTACACCCCAAACAAAACTCGGCTGTGTGATTTTAAGTCTCCTACTTCTTGTCTGTAGACTGGTCCTGAATAAATAGCATGGGGAACGCAAGTGATTGATAAGCTATACCTGACTCCGGCCCCCAAATTTGGATGGTCATTTCTTCAGCCTTACCTTATTGTGTTTAGTTCAGCTTACTGCTGCCTAGATAGAGCATGCCTGGCTGGGCTGAAGGAAATCATGATGAAACAGAAACCTTTTTCAAACAGGAAACTCATTTGGTTATCACACATTTCCTATGAATCCTTAGCAGGGCAGAATCCGCGCATTCCGTCAGCTTTCCACATAAGTAAACTGTATTTCCCCTCTGCAGGGAGCGGAACAGAGCTCTGATTATTCCCTCCTGGCTTCTGTTTTCAAGACAAAACTCTTGAGGGTAAAGTTGCTGGCAGCTGTTATTTATTAAACCAGGCCCTGAGTGTGAATCATCTGGGTTATCAGGATAAATTTGAGTTATTTTCCAAACAGTGATAAGGATCCCATAACATGGCCAGCTGTGAGGCAGAGAAAACCAGTTCACTTTAGCCAGGCCTGGTTGTCCATAAAGGTCCCTGGACCTGCAGAGAAATACAGCTTCCCATAGACTTTTAACAGATCTACCTGATGGGAAACCCAAAACTGTTCTCCAGGGCCTGCTCCTGCCTCAGCTTTAGGGTTGGTCTCACTCATCTCTCTTCCTCTTCCTTCGTCCACCACAAGGAGGTGCTGGACCAGGACAGTGAACAAAGAGGGTCTTTGAAATTCTCACCCCACAAGGTGTCCCCCAACAACCCATTTAAAGAGCTTCTGAGGTCAGTCAATTTGGCAAAGCCTCTATGTTCTCTGATTGAAGATTCACAATAGATATTAGCTTATTTATGACCACCAGGGATTTAAAAGCAAAAAGAGAAGGGGGTGAGGTTGGAGGGAGAGAAAGGGTAAAAGAGAACAGAGGAAAGGGAGAGAAACCTGTTATATTTATTTCACCCTGCATTTAAAAAAAAAAAACACCATTTAGCTACCAAACCTCTTTTTAGTATAAAACTTATTAAGTCCTGCTGAATTTGAGTTCTGAAAATGTTCCCACTTGGGAAATACTAGACCAGATGATCACTGAAATGCTCCTAATTTTGAAAATTCTAAGTTCTGTTTACAGATCTTCTAAAGCACAATACTGGTCATACCCTTCCCTCGCCCAAAATCCACTGTGGCTCCCACCTGCCTAGAAAGTCCACATTCCTACGCACAGCATTCAACACCTCCCAGAGTTTGGCTCTAACTTTCCCAGTCGTAGTTCCCTTCCTTCCGTCCATGTGTCTGCTCTTTCCACACTGGGCTTCCCCTGCTCCATCCTCACGTCTGCTGCTCTCTCGCCTCTGTGCCTCTGCTCATGCCGCTGGTCCAATTAGAATGCTTTTGTGGCCTTTGCACATGCAGATGCAACCCACCTTACTCAGCTCAAACCATCCCCTCCCATGATGATCTCTCTAACATAATGGGAGCTCATATGTAGGGCTCTTGTGCTAGACAAGGTACTGGGCTTCTTGTATATAAGCACTGTGTGCCTTCCCCCAAGCTTCTTTCAAGAACAACTTTATACACAGTTACCAGTCCCCTAGCTCCTTCCTGGCATGTAACATGTGTTTATTGAAAGAATAATCTGAAGGATAAATGGCTGGTGTAACAGGAAACCCTCTAGGGTAGAAAGAACAATGGTCTCAGGCCCCGAGCCCCAGTGTGGTTCTGTCGTCCACCCGCCCTTTGCTTCTCCGCCTGAGAGCTCAGTGTGCCAGCTCGTACAGACAGAGAGGCTGCCGGAGCCACGGGCCTTCCAGGACTAAATACCGTGAGATTCTCTCAATTTATAATCCACGTTACAAACAATCTGAGACAACCCTACAGAATTAAAAATAGGGCAAAAGAGAACAATTAATGACAAAAGAGAACAGACTAGAAGTCTATTTGAATTTTAATAGAGGAAAAAGAATTAATCTAAAAGAATAAATCTCTGGCATTAGGGGTTTAGGGATCAGTAAGGGACTAAGAGAAAGATATTTTTTAAATCAGAAAATTATCCTGAGTTCTCCAAAATGTCCTCATAAATGACTACTACTTTATAAGGAACACCTGATCTTAAATGTATACATTTACACTTATCTCTGCAGAAAATACTTATCTTAAAAAATAACTAGCAAATCAAAACTCAAATTTCTATGCAGTGGTTGTCAAAATGTGCTCCAAACCAGATGTCAGTACCGCTGGGGCCTCCTTCAAAACACATCAGAAACTCGGGGGGGCGGGGCGGGAGGGAGGCTGGAATCTGCGTATTAACAAGGCCTCCAGGCCATGCTGATGCACAAGGTTTGTGTGTAATTCTATTTGCAGCTAAATATGTGTCTATCGACTCATTTGTCAAAGATACAGAAACGTGTGGTTCCCTTTCCACTCCAGTCTGTTATCACTACTGTACAAACCACTTCAAAATGGGGTGAGAGCCAATGTATCTGCTCCCTTCCTTTGACTTCTGCCAGCTCCCCTGCTCGGGCCTCCACGCTTTCACTAATATCTGCCCTATCTCTTACAGCTGCCCAAGCAGATCCCTGCAAACCCCTGGCCTGTGTCGAATTTGCCCAGTGTGTACAGAACGAGTGGACCGAGGGAACAGAGTGTCGCTGCCGAACTGGGTACGAGAGCCAGGGGGCCCCGGACCACCAGGGGGGCCGGGGCCGCTGTGCCCCCCAAGAGGAATGTGAGGTCCTCCAGGGAAAGGGCGCTCCGTGCAGGTGGGTCAAGCACACCAACTTTATAGACCCAGGAATTTGTTATCTGTAATTCTGAGAAACCTGGCATTAGAATGAATGCATATGGTCCTTTAAACCCATGGTTCTCAAACTTCAGCGAGCGTCAGAATCTCCTGGAGGGCGACTTGCCAAAGCGCACATGCTGGTTGCTGCCCGGCCCTGTTCCTGGCTCGGTGGGTCTGGGTAGGGCACCAGTAAGGCTGACACTTCTGGTCCAAAAGTCACACTTGGAGACCTCTGCTCAAGCTTTCCTACAGTATTTCATTGAGACCAATAAGGGGGAAAAAAGAACCTGTGTTAGCTTTAAGAGAGAAAACCACATGGTCCATACCTTAATTGGTGTGTGTGTGTGTGTGTGTGTGTGTGTGTGTGTGTGTGTGTAATACTTGTCTTTTCCCCTCTTTGCAAACACAATAGCTTTCATTATAAGAAAACTGGAAAATATAGAAAATTGAGAAAAATGATAAAAGTCATATTAGCTGCTCTTTTCTTTTGATGCACATGTGTACGTAGGACATCTATATAGAATTTTCTAAAGCAAAATGAAATCAGCCTGGCTTCTTGTTTTACAGTCAGCTTTTTAACATAGAACATTCATTCCTCCATGTCACTAAATATTTTCTGTAGCGTCATTTTCAATGCTTACAGGGTAGTCTAGCCTATGGATGTGCTATGATATGTTTAATTAATTCTTCATTTCTGACAGAAAGGTTAAACGAAGCTCTTTAGACGGAGGAAAAGAAGGTGAGCTATCACTGGCCTTCTATTCATGAACCAGGCTTTAGGATGGAGGTAGCCTGGTAATAGCTTTCATTATAAGAAAACTGGAAAATATAGAAAATTGAGAAAAATGATAAAAGTCATATTAGCTGCTCTTTTCTTTTGATGCACATGTGTACATAGGACATCTATATAGAATTTTCTAAAGCAAAATGAAATCAGCCTGGCTTCTTGTTTTACAGTCAGCTTTTTAACATAGAACATTCATTCCTCCATGTCACTAAATATTTTCTGTAGCATCATTTTCAATGCTTACAGGGTAGTCCATCCTATGGATGTGCTATGATATGTTTAATTAATTCTTCATTTCTGACAGAAAGGTTAGACGAAGCTCTTTAGACGGAGGAAAAGGTGAGCTATCACTGGCCTTCTATTCATGAACCAGACTTTAGGATGGAGGTAGCTGATGAACAACCAGGGAACACAAATGTCCCTCATTCTCCTCCAAGTCCCGTGACACCCAGATAAGATCACACTGCGGAACTCTGCCCTCCCAAGACTTCTGTGTGAGCCTGCCCCGCCCTCCCCACCGTGAGCTTCCAATCACACACACGCCAACATTTCCTCACTGGTAATCACCAGGCCTACGTCTTTATCCGACTATCCTGGTTTTTCTATTGCTCTCTTACTCATTCTAGTGACCACAATCCCTAATTTCCAACCCAGGGGACACGTGGCAATCTGCTTCCACACTCGAGCAACAAGAAAGGAGATTTTGCTTTTTTCTTGATGAAACATACCTTGTTCCTTTAAATTATTCACACTTTAAAGACAACTATACAATAGTGGTTAAGAAGCAATATTCTGGAGTCAAAGTGCAATTAAAATTTTGGCTTAGCAGTTTACTAATCAAGTGACCTTGGAGAAATTAACTTCTCTAAACCTCAAGTTCCTCATTGGATAAGGGTTACTGCAAGGGGTACGTGAAATTATGTTTATGAAACATCTTCACAAAGCACATAAAGCACAGTGTCCCTTGAGGCACGTGAGGATTATGATGATGCTATCAGTTTTCTCCTAAATTAATACCAATTAAAATCCCAACTGGATTCTTTATGGAATTTCACATTCTGTTTCTAAAGTTCCTCTGCAAATGAAAATGTCCGGAGAAAATCCTAAAGTACAATGATGGGGAGGCCTCTCTGTAAGATAGTAACTCATTAAATAATATTTAGAACACTGAGAGAGACACAGAGATAGACAACAGATTAATAGGATAAATACAAGACCTAAATAAGTTAATACCAATTAAAATCCCAACTGGATTCTTTATGGAATTTCACATTCTGGTTCTAAAGTTCCTCTGCAAATGAAAATGTCCCGGAGAAAATCCTAAAGTACAATGATGGGGAGGCCTCTCTGTAAGATAGTAACTCATGAAATAATATTTAGAACACTGAGACACAGAGATAGACAACAGATTAATAGAACAAATACAAGACCTAAATAAATCCTTACATATTAAGGAATTTATTTAACAAGCACTTCAAATCAGTAGGGAAAGTATGGGCTGGTCGGTAATGGTTAAAGTACAATTGGCCTTCCATTTAGAAAAAAATAAAATTAGTTTCTTACTACACACAAATCAATTCTATATCGAAGATTCAAACCTAAAATCAAAACAATGAAAGTATGAGAAAAAATATTTAAAATATTTTTTCTATAGTCTTAGGCTAAAAAGCCTTCCCTAGTTAAGACACCAATCCCAGAAGACATTAAGAAGAGGGCTTCCATAGAGAAAAAAAAAACACACTGTAAATAAAGTTAACATATACACAACAAGAGAAACGCATTTATAACCTATCTTCTATCTTAAAGGCTGAACATGTATAATAATGAGTTTCTATGTGTCAATTAGGCAAACTTCATATTACTAAAATGAGCAAATAAACACAGAGAAGAGATCCGAATGACCAACAAAACAGGAAAAGATGCTCAATCTCACTATGATCAGGGAAATCCAGAAACAATGAGGCAGTATAACTTACTACTCATGCGTTTGGCAGAAGAAGGTCAATAATACCCAGAGTGGATAACGTCAGGGAAAACCAGTTCTGTAAAGCATTGCTGATGGGGGTGTAAATAGGAAAAAACTTTTTAAATAAATATTTGTTACTGCCTATAAACATTTTAACTAGACTCAGATAGTCTACTTTTGGACAATTATTTCTGCAAAAATAGTTGCACTTGTTCACTGAGATATGTGTATAAAAATATGCACAGCGTCATTGCTTTGAACGGTGAAACCACTGGACAGCCCACCTATGGAGGAATAGCTCAATCATCATCATGTGGTATATTAGTCACGATGGAACACAGCCGTTAAAAGCAATAATATAGCTCTCCTGGAGCTGCCATAGGGAAAAAACCAAGACATTTCATTAAATGAGAAATGTGAATTGTAGGTTCATAGGTCCTGCTTATGTAATAAATTAATAACAAAACTCTGTATTTATAATATATTAAGTTCAAGCACATGGCATTGCTATTTTGTTGGTAACAAATCATCCAGCATTGGCAGTTTTGTATGGTTCAAGCAAATATGTAACTAAAAGCATAGTAAATACATGATTTAAAAGACACACTCGATTCCAGTTAACAATGGAAAAGAGTAGAAATGGGGTCCAAGTTTTTTAATTATGAGAATATGTGCATGTGTCACTTGTGTAATTTAAAAGCAAGCAAATATGTAACTAAAAGCATAGTAAATACATGAATTAAAAGACACACTCATTTATGATTCCAGTTAACAATGGAAAAGAGTGGAAATGCGGTCCAAGTTTTTTAATTATGAGAATATGTTCATGTATCACTTGTGTAATTTAAAAAGGCCGGGGGTGGCAGGCAGAGAACAGTGAATGAGCAAGACCCTAGTAAGATGAATAAGGAGAAGGGGTTTGCAGGTGGCTTTTATGAGCAGTAATATATTCCGTTTTTGTTTTAATCGGCCCTATTTGCTGCAGATGGCTGCGCAATTTGTCATTTTAAACATCCCTCTGAAGAAATATCCCTTATCATTCTAGGTTGTCATAAGTGAAGTCAATAGAGTAGGACACGGGCTGATCGGGAAGTGACAGCTCTTAGGAAGGTTTTCGGGGCTCTGCTCCCTGACCTGTGCCTGCCTCGGGGAATAGATAGCATGACCTTCCGGGGCTCAAATACACAGGAATAAGATGCTCCTTACACTGATTCCATTCAGCAAGCATTTTTGAGCCCCCATGTGCTAGTCACTATGTGAGGGGCTGGGCAATAGATAATAAGGAAGTGAGGAAGCAGGGGAGGGAGGCAGGGAGGAGAAAGACCAGAAGGAGGGAGAGGAAGATACTCAATTTCTTTTGGGGAGAAAAGAAAATCCTCAACAAGAGGACAAACCCCATCGCCCCATGAGCTGCTTCAGAAGGACTCTCAGTGGAGCAGAACCCTGAGCACAGCAGAGCTGAGTCCCTCCCGGATCCCCACCACCTGCTCCCCCTCCCAGCAGTTACTTCCGTTGCTCACAGATGCCATCATTTATGTGACTGCAACTTACTTATGGGGATCAGATTACCGAATCTAACATACATTACAACACTAAGATTAGAGGTTTTTAAGCTATACCCAAGTTCAAATTCGAGCTCTGCCCCTAACTAGTGAACTTGAGCAACATCTCCCTCCCCTTTAAACCTCAAATTTCTCATCTGTATTAATGGGAGTAATAGGAATACATTCGCAGGTTAAGGTAAGGAGTGAATAAGAGGCTCCTTGCCCTAACCGGTTTGGTTCAGTGGATAGAGCGTTGGCCTGCGAACTGAAAGTTCCCAGGTTCGATTCCCGTCAGGGGCATGTACCTTGGTTGTGGGCACATCCCCAGTGGGGGGTGTGCAGGAGGCAGCTGATCGATGTTTCTCTCTCATCGATGTTTCTGACTCTCTATCTCTCTCCCTTCCTCTCTGTAAAAAACCAATAAAATATATTTTTTTTAAAAAAAAGAGGCTCCCTCAGCGTAAACTCCCAGCTGCTACCAGCTGCTAGCATCTTTGGAGCTGTTCGATAATTATCAACAAAAGGCAGCCCTGTAAGGAAAACAGATTCCCTACTTGGTACTTAAACCTCAACTCAGAAGCAAATCAGGTGAAGACACTAAGTGCTGCAACTCTGAAAGCAACAGCCTCTACAGAACCGTCAGCGTGGCTGCGTTTCTGTCCTTCTACCCAGTGAAGAAGGAAATAGGAGAATTATATGGTGGGCAAGTGCGACTGAGATGAGTCCACTGATGCACAAGGAGCCTTTGCAGTTGGTTCAGATCTTTGTCATTCTACTGACAAGTCACTGTCTTTTGTTATATTTTCACCTTTATTTTTCCCTATTCTTTTTTGTTTGGTTTTTTTAATCCTCACTCAAGGATATTTTCCCCATTGATTTTTAGAGAGAGTGGAAGGGAGGGGGAAAGGGAGAGACAGAGAAAGAAACATTGGTGTAAGAGAGACATCGATAGGTTGCCTCCCACATGCGCCCCAACTGGGGCCAGGGATCGAATCTGCAACCAAGGTATGTGCCCTTGCCTGGGAACCGAACCCTAGACCCTCCAGTACACAGGCCAACACTCTAATCACGCCTATTCTTTTTCACATTCAATATCTATGAGCATAGTGCATACATTTCCCATTTTCCTCAATTTTAGATTATATATATATATATATTCAGTTGTTCTAGGAACTTACTTGGCAAAATTCCCTAAGAATAAACAAAATTTCATTTTCAAAATTCCCTTTTTAGGCTTAATGATTTTTACTTTTGTTAATCACAACTGTCATCATACATACTCAGAAAATGCAAATCTAGATCTGAGAGAGTAAATTATTTATGACTTCCTCTTCAGATCTAAAAATTTTCACTTTGTCCTTTAATAGGACTCTGTGTTCTTTGTGACATTTACAATGAGAATCATTTACAAACGTAGGGGCCAGATTAAGTACCTGATGGTACAAAGTGACTCTTATGAAGAGGTTTTAGTAACATGAAAGAACCTGTTTTAACCACAGTAAGATCACAGGTTTACTCACGCGCTACTCCTCAGATGTGTGAGGTGGTTGGTGTCCTTTTGCCCCTCTAGTAGCTGTTCCCCACTCTCTTTTGAGCCCTTTTACCACTGGGTTAAAGAAGGGGAGCTGGGAGGAAGTGGAGTTTAATATAGTCCAATCCAGTTTTTAAGATTTCTTCTGATTAACAGTTTAAGCAATTGCTTCAGCCATCTCAGTTTTCTTGAAATATATAGTCAGGCTCAGAGATCTTCTCCCCTTCCCTTCTCTTCTCCAAGTTTCGATCTGTATGCATTGGGGGAGAGGTCTCTCCTCATCTCACCAGGTCCTTGGGAAAGTTTCTATTCCCGTATTCTCCTCAGCTGTGAACTCTTAGTTCTCACCTCAGCACCTGCCGCTCCCCGGGTAGTCTCAAAGCCTCCAAATCACCCAACCAAGACAAACTGGAGCAAAAAGATTGCCTTAGCTGGCGGTAGGAGGAACAGGGGACTTGTTACTCAACCTCCTGGAACCATACCTCTCTCCTCTGCCTTCTCCCCATCAAGCACTGGACCAAGATGAGTTTCCCTCCTTCCTTTAGTGATGCCCACCTCCCCGCTTTCCCTGAAGTTATAAGGAGCAGAATGTTCAGAGAAAGAGAAGTTTACTGACAAGGGAACGTATGTCAGAAAGTATCCCCCAAATATTATACCCATTTTATAAGGTGAAGAAGAAAAAAGCAAAGTGTAAAATGTGTATATACTGTCTTCAGTAATTACATAATATGTACATATAGGGAGAAGTCTGGAATAATATACATAAAATTTTAAAATAAGTTTCATTTTGAAATTGCATGAACAAAATATTAGAGTTGTTTTTTTCAGTAACCACAACTCAGAACTTGACTTGAAAAATAACTCCACTTCTTGCAAGATGAACTTATCATTCATCTTTCCCATGAGCTTTGTTCAACCCTCTGAGGCCACTGCCTGGGAAACAGCAAGCCAACTAGAAGGCAAAACCCGGGGGTAGGGGGGGAGGTGCAGAAAGCACACTTCCTCCAAGTCTAACAAAGGCACTGGCAAAATGTGCTGCCCATTTTCACTCATCATTTTCAAACCAAAGAGTAGGAAGTCGTAGTTGCTGTTAATGCCAATAAGCCTGGGAAATAGAATATCATGTTTTGCTTTCTTTTGTAGGTCATCAGGTCACTCTAAAAATCAAGCACACGGAACTAGTGTTAAACATACTTTTAAATGTTGATTTTAATTACTGAAATTTGAAGGACATTTAAAATATTTCTGAGCCTGACTCTTATTTTAAATAGAATTAATTAAAAGCACTTTTCCTTTCCTTGCCAGGGTTTTTGATTTAGCATTTTCAAGGGGGGGGGGGGGGGGAGGCATTTCCTGGTGCAGGAAGGGTAGAGACAGAAGATTGGCATTAACTGAAATGTGTAGGCAAAACTATAAAATAACAGAAATAATCCGAGTATTTTATAATATTTTTAACCTTTCTTATAAAAATATACATGTGACTTATCAATGCATTTCACATGGTTGAAATTTTCATAATGATCATTTACATTCCTGGAACTGAATCATTTTATGCATGTACTTATAAAATATCTTCTTTTGATTTCAAATAATCAGCCAAAGCAAAATATGTAGAAAAATAAATATGTAGAAAAAGTGATTTGTGAATGAGCAACTTCAAAAATTCCTAAAAGTTCATCCTCAGATAAATGTTCCTTCCAGTGTCCTAGTTACCTCTTGTAAATTACTCATCCATTCATCAACTTACTTTACTAAAAAAAAATATATATCTGACAAAGGGAAATAATTTATCTATAACCAGGTTAAATATAGACTACATTGAGCTTTTTCAAAATGACTTTGGGGAAAATACCTTGGAAAATGTTTAGCCTGAAATCACCTAGTTTCAAAAACTATACCTAGTCTCTGATGGTAAAAATGAATGATCATCAACCAGTGTCCACCCTCCCTGAGATACACAGTGTTAGGTGGAGCCGCATCAAAGCTTACACTTAAAACAAATTATTATGGTCAATATGCAATCAATATACAATATACAGTCATATCAAATGCTAATCATAGTAGCATGTGTCCGAGTACACACTGGAAATAATGTGGGCCATTTTGACTTCCTGAAACAAAGAAAGTTGGAAAGCCAGATAAAATGCAGACTCGAGCCATAAAATGACAATGGGACACAGGATCTAATATTAACAAAATGGCCAGGATGAAGCAAACACCAACCAAATCCTGAAGTGCCAGGTAGAATTAAGAACCACAATTCAAATGAAGCAGCAATATGGAATAACAACATCTGCTATGGTTGGAAGGGAACCTGGTGACTTTCATTCACAAACTATTTGCTACCCCTGCTTCAAAAGAAAGTTCAGCCTGAGAATGTGAATTGGTTTAAGAAGAGATGGAATCTATTTATAGCAGGTTAAAAAGTTAGAAATATTTTGGAAGCATCTTCAACCTTTCAAAAAAGATAGCCTAAATGGCAAGCATATTCTCATCCATCAGCAGAGGCAATTTTTAAATGAGTCATTGATTTGCTCTTCGATGGCATTTCTTAAGCTCTTAAAATTATTTTTCTTCCAGGTAACCAGGAAAAGAAATCCTGAATCACTGACGGTAGGATATGAAGAATTTAACCATTAAGATTGGGAAGGAAATTAAAAACTGAAAATGTACATGTTATCATTTAATCTATCTCAAGAGACATGGCTTGCTTTCTCAAGGAAAATTGAATGCACTATGTCAAAATTCTGAAAACGTAGGCAGGCATATTCACTGGTTGTCAGAAGCCAGGCCTAGAGACAACACTGAGGTCCAGCACGCACCACATTTCAAATAGAGAAGACTGCGCACTGATGACTGGTACCTTCTGAAGGAAAGGATGCTTATTTATCAAAATCCAAAACACAACCAGTGAAACATTTTGGCTATTCCTGGGTGATAGCGAAGGAAATAGTAAACCAGGTTTGCTTCCAGCTGCCCTGAAAATCTTGCTCATAGATCATTTACAAGTGCAACCTATTGTTTTTGGGGTGGAAGGTGAACAATATATCAGAAGCAAAGCTCTTCAGATGTTAGAATGTACATAAAAGTTGACTACTTATGCAAGGAGATGCAGGTCTCTACATGCATGGACATATATAGTAGGTAAACACTGGTGAGGGTATATATGCTCCACACTTCAATATTTGTCACACACACACACACACCTTCAGTTCTTAGGCACATTAATTTTATGAGAAACTAGTAGCCCTGTGCATGGATCCATGCGCCAATAGCTTGCTAGTAGCTCGATGC